GTGGAAAATTAAAAAGTGTGTTGCAGTGCCACTAGAAACTAGTTATAAATTTGTTTTAAAATATTTCAGCGAGTTTAATTATCCCCGTGGAGAATATTATAATAATCTCAATCTCGTCCCTGCAGCACCGCGACCTCATACCTTACTGGTCGTACATCAATTTATTGTACGAAATTACCTTTTAGCTGTAAGAAATCTATCAACTCCGCCAAACTTTTTTACACATCGATCCTCCGGCTGTCGATTCAGCTGAATATTTGAAAATTATTTATTTTAATAATAACAAAATGTAAAAGGCTTACATTTACATTAGTGCTATTTTATGATATAAAATATGTTTTATTTCATTAGTACACACTTTAACTACCTACTGTAATTATAAAATGATAATAATTTGAATAACAAATAGGTTATAGGTACATATACTTACCTATACACCCATTATATTATCCATCATACTCTTACATTGTATATTTTATTATTTTTATAATCTATTTTAAAAAAACGATAGTTTCACTTAATTTTTTGAAAACGACAATCCCTAGGTTTTTGAGTTATATTATTTTATAATCTTAACAAACTATAAATTGTATTTTATTGTTTGTTTTCCGCCATCATAAATGTATAATTGGGTTATATACTTATATAATGGACGTCAATGTATGAATTTATCGTTTTTTGGAATGTTTTTATTTAAATAAAAAAACATATTTATTAATAACTGGGTGTAACTAAACTGTTGATTAAAAAAAAAATTCTGCTTAATATGATGCATCGGTTATTGTTTAACAAACAGTCGGCCGCGGAATCATCAAATATCAAATAAACATCCATCGGATTCGATATAGTCGGCGGAATCGATGGTCGGTGGAATTATTGACATCAAAACGGCGGTATCGATAAAACCCCAACGTAGGTACTTACCCTATACAGTATAATATAATATACCCATCAGTCACGGTCATATTATAATAGAAGTTGACAGTTGTGGGTATTTGTTTGGTTTGCCCGAGGCGAAGAAAAAAAATTAAAACGTTTGTTTTCCCGTTACCAAAAAAAAAGCCGAGTCGGTCGGTTCGTTTGCAGAAGAACTATATTATAATTTATGTAAATATCGCAAACGTATTGAATCATTAATTTCCGACTAGTGTTCGAATATGGTTACGTAAGTCCTGACATGAATCACGTGTACCTTTGGAGAGCAGAAACTGCGAGATTGTTCTGAAAACTTACACGCACGTAGAAGAACTTTCGCACAAATTATTACGTGTTTTTTAACATTCGGGTAAAACGCGACACGATAATATTATAATATTATTATATACCTATAATACAGAAGTATAGTATCTCATATGTATAGAGGAAGACGATTTCTAATGCAAAACGTATAATTGAGGTACCCAGCTGATAACACTGCTGTAGTAGAAGTGTTTACCTATATATTATACGCATGGCTTAAATCTGGACGATTTCGATTGATTTTTATTCGACGGATTATTATACCGAGTCGAAGTCAATGTTTGTTAAATAATATATTTTAATACTCCCCCCCCACCATTAATAATATGACGGATAAACCGCGCGTAACGAACCCAACATCTTTATATTATAGACATACGGCTTATATACCATTATTATATTAATACGATATATGACCCAGATAACGGACGACGGATTTCGGAAATTTCAAAGTCAAAAATCGACTCGCGTTCGCCTTGACTCCAATAGCAACAATAATAATAATAATAATAATAATAATAATAATAATAAACTGTGCGAACCTAGGCGCCCGTAGCCCCCGATCGTCTGCCAGCTGGTACGTCCATATAATATGTGTATACACGCATAATTATGCACAGAATAAAACGTGTACATACATATTATGTGTGTGTGTGTGTGTGTGTGTGTGTTTAGTGGTTCCCGGAATGCACAATGGGAGAAAGTATAACCTTGTCCAGCGCAAGTTTTCCGCTACACGTATTATAATATTGTATACATATGAGGTTTAATTTTTTTTTCGCACGCGTGGGTCGTATAATACGTGTAGGTATAAGACGTAGTATATACGGGGTGATCCATTCTGCAACTGCGAAAGACGCACAAGAGTTATTTCGGAAAATATGCAAACGTTTTTGAAAATATATTAAATTATTTTATACTCGTGTCGTTACAACGAACAATACATTTTTTACTCTCTTTCGAACGGACCACTTGCGTTTTTGATTTCATATTCTAAAGCGGAATAACAATTTCCATCTATAGGTAACTATCGAATTTCGGATCACCAGAGTTTGTTCACAATATTTTGACTTGTGAGTATTTCAAGACTTCAAGTTAAGATGAGCGGAGTAGTGGTTCAACATTTTACGGGGTACCTACTCCTGTACCACACCATACGCCGCTCATCTAAATTTTAAATACTTATAACTCATAAACTATACTCGTCCAACGAATACGAATACGAAGTATTCTGCTTTGTAATAAAGGACTTAAATGCACGGTGTCATTAAAAAAAATTTAAACAATAAAAAATAAATGAGTTTTAGGAAAATCTTGTTTTTTAACTACTTAAAATTATGTAAAAAAATATTTTCAAAATTTTTAATAGTTTTTAAAATAATGAGTGTCTCGTTGAATGGATCATCCAGGTATAGGAACCTACATCTAAAGCCACGACCACACGTATCTTTACGATTCGGTTTTATGATGGTATAATGTCGTCACTGGTATAATGCCGGCTACAGGATTTTTTGTCTTCGATCAATTCCTCATCGGAGGTATGACTGTCAGGACACTATTTTAAGCTCAACGCTTTTCGTTAAGTTTAGATATAGGTACTACATCGTTAAAATTTTATAATGCTCATCAGTCATCATAAGCATAAGCACATTATACACTCGCCACTAAATTATTGACTTTCGAGACGATTATCCATTTATCCGTACCCTATACGCTGCCTCTTAGGCGAATGTCTATTTCGGTTCCAAACCCATAAGTGTATTTCAAAAAATGACGATAACAACGATATCATGTACAGTGTAGATCGGCTTACGCCTAAAACAAGTCACTACGCTTTATTGCTTTTACAGCGGATCCTCGTTTGGCCTGTTTGCATGGTGTAGTGTGTAATGCATACATAATTTATTTGCAGTTTTCAATCGAACCATTTAAATATAATAGTATTATCACTATTACATTATACTTATATATAGGAGTACCGTTAGTATAGTAAATTCAAAAAGAAAATTGAAATTAAAAATTACCAAATTAATATAGGTACTATTGTACATAGGTTTTGAAATTTTATGAAAAACGACCTCTAGGAATCTATATATTTTAGCCATATAGGTTAGGTTAAATATGAGCGAAATGGTCTGGTCCCAATTCCAATGTATATACAATAACTAACTAATTTCGGTTCGTGCAGTTTATGTGGGCAAAATTGGTTTGGTCCCAACGTGTCCAAATTAAGCGGAATCCATTGTGTACATTCAAGTAATAGATCTGATCGAAAGCGGTTTTTGTAATATAAAATAATAATATATTAGAGCTTAATATTCTTTATTTGACTTTTATAAGTTCAAAAACAACAATAAATTCAGTAAGACCAATTATATTTATATTTTAATATACTAGGTAGGTATACCTTAACATATACTTAGGTAGGTACAGCTGATTACTATATAACACTATATAATATTATACTGCGTACATAAATATGAAACACCAGTGGTCAGTGGACCACCGTTGAGGCCGAGGGGGCTAATAAAATTCACCCCCTCCCCGTGTGAGACTCGTTTTTTACTTATACTATTATAATAGGCATATATTATAATATGTATGTATATTGTATATAGCTTATATAGGTAGACATATAAAATATACATTATTACGGTACATATTATAGTATTTGCATATACTATATATATGGTTAACCAGTAACCAGTCTCATCGGTATAGCGTTTTACGGTTTAATGTTGATAATATTTCATTTAGGTATATAGCCGAGACGTAGGGCGAGGAGGGGGTGTGGCCGTCACGTCTCGCTTTTATTAATAATAATAATAATAATCTCACCTCAAGTCCGCGACGGCACTGTTCGTTCATTTTTTTTCGAAGTTTTACGCACAGCACTTGCTATTCTAATACACATACCTACCTACCTACCTACTTAATAATATTATTATACTGTTTAAGCCTTCAGACACACCGGGAACGTAAGAGAACGTGTCACATACACACACACACGCACATATATGATCGCGTCGTCTCACGAGAGCGTTTTTTATACGATTTTTTTTTCGCGAAAAAACCGGTTCACGGGGTCGACGGAACGGCATTTCGCCACACACATATTACATTGTGTCGGGAGAGGAACGTTCGGCTATGAGAAAATTACGTACAATAATATTATTATCGCTTATGTGTACACATTATAATATTATGAGTTTCATGCATCGATTTGTGTCGTTTTTCGTTATCAGTCGCATATTAATATATTATAATGACACGATTTTACCACAGCACTCAGATGCGATCGAAACACGTCGAGCCGTCGACGTTACAATATATGTTATTTAAAAGCAACAGACGTTGAGCTAAATGTTATCCTAGTTTGAAAAAAAGTATTTTACTTATTTATTTAAAGCTCGTACAATAACAATTCAAACGATTACAATCAGAATAAAATATTAATAATACAAAACGAATTTATGTATGATAAAAATTTATTATGAAAATCGTTGAAGGGTATGGTGCAACATAAAGGTAATCTGCCCATCGTAATAAGCATTTTCTAGAAAATCTGAGCCTTAACTGTATTATAAATTCACAGTACCAACCTATACAATATGTTGTTTTAATCATTATCAGTTAACTATCGCACTTACCAAACGTCGTTTGTTGATCTTCTCCGCAGGTCCTTTTGATCGTCGATCGCAGCGACAGCGACAGCTACAACCCCAGCGGTCAGGCAACGGGTCAACAGCGACAACGCCAACATGGTGGCGTCCGCCGACCGCCGCGAAAGTTTCGGCGTGGACAGCAGCCTGTTCCACCACCGGAAGAGCAAGACCAGTGCCAACAAGCAGGGCAAGGACGCCAACAAAGGCAAGCAGTCGTCCGACGTGGCCGTGTACACGATATCAGTGGTCGGCGGCTACGAGAACCAGGGCTACAAACGGGATGACCTGCAGTCCGGCGACGGGGGCCTTGCCAAGCCGCCGCTCGGTAGCATGGCCGACGGCGACGGCGACGACGACCAGTCCAAGGGCAAGTTCAAGATGTCGCCCAAGGAGAAGTGGCGGATCCTGAAGAACGTGTCCACCATCAGCCTGGCGTTCATGGTCCAGTTCACCGCGTTCCAGGGCACGGCCAACCTGCAGAGTTCTATCAACGCCCGCGAGGGCCTGGGCACAGTGTCCCTGTCCGCCATCTACGCGGCGCTGGTGCTCAGTTGCATATTCGTTCCCACGTTCCTCATCAAGCGGCTGACAGTCAAGTGGACGCTGTGTCTGTCCATGCTGTGCTACATACCATACATCGGTGCCCAGTTCTACCCGCGGTTCTACACGCTGGTGCCGGCCGGCGTGCTCGTGGGCCTGGGCGCCGCTCCCATGTGGGCCGCCAAGGCCACGTACCTCACTCAGACCGGGGCCGTGTACGCCAAGCTCACCGACCAGCAGGTGGACGGTATTGTCGTCCGGTTCTTTGGATTCTTCTTCCTGGCTTGGCAAACCGCTGAGCTTTGGGGCAACCTCATCTCTTCGTTGGGTATGTACCTGAATAAGATATTAGACTTAAAACGGTTTACGGATAAAACTTGCAGTAATTACATAATAATAAATCACAAAATCAACAAAATTACATAGTAATAAATTTCTCTAAAATTCAATTCACCATTTAAAATTTACTAAATAATAAATTCTTCTACACGGTCCGTAACTCACTCGTTCGAATAATAAAAGATCGTCCCAGAGCCGTTTCATATTATATCGCACTTCCGACTTAAATGTTATCGTTAATATACCGTATCATATTTGTTTCCATAACGCGTGTTATTCGTTTATTGTATTAAGAGGTCATTCATTTATTGGTCCAGTCGCGGTTTACGATTCTCCATAATATTATGATATGCACGGCGACAGAAATAAAACTTTTGACCCGAACGCGTGTTTTTATTGATTATCGATGATATGCAAAAAAAAATCGATGAAAAAAAATCTCGACGAATTCGCCCAATTCAGCACAATATAGAGTGCACCACGATAAAAAAAAAACAAAAAAACGCTAGTGCTGCAGTTGCAGTAACCGATACGCTGCAGTTCGGCGACACCGGATCACAATATATGTTATTATATTATGACATAGCAGTATATAGACACCTTCACCTGGCTGCAATATTGCGGTTTTATCAATTTGATTATAATAATAATCGCGGTGTTATAATAGGTGGCTCGTTCGTTAATTTATCGTGATAATAATATAAAATATTATAATATTAGGCATGGATAAACGACCGTGAACCCCAGCAGCGGCGTTGCATACAGTATAATATTTTCCGATCAAATTCGTATATTATATAGCTGTAAATCGAAATCAATTAATTCGATTTATTATACATAATACATAGTCACTAAATCTTATTACATGCATATTACGATATAGTGTATGTGTGCTTGTATTTAATATATATTATGTTATTCAATTATAGCTTTGCATTAATTTTTCTCAGACGCTTTTCAGGCCACTAAAATATTCGCCGCCTGCCGTTTTGACGCGCTTCACTGCACCGGGACCGTGTGCAAATGTCAAGGCGAAATGTATAATGATCGTTATAATATTATACTAGTAAATACATTTACCGTCTCGACACCGTTGTTCCCGACCTCTCGATGGCCAACTATATTAACTGCATAACTATCGTATTATTATTATGTATTTTACCTTAATAATCGCTCTTACGGTCAGCCGTCTTTCAAAATGTATCCATGTGTCTCGAACGAAATAGTATAGGTATAAGTAGGTATGAGCGGTATATAAATACCGACCTGCAGCAGAAATCATAAGACATTCAACGAATGCAAGATTGCTCACAAATGAAAACCTTTTGAATTCTGTGGCTCGATCGTACCATTATCATTTCGCAAACGCGATTCCTACCGATGATGATTGCCAACGCTATTCGAAATCGATTAACTATCTCCGACACCTGTTGACATTTCGCAATAACCCTGAATAACGCGGTTGCTCGCAGTCCTAATTTCTTTCCGACACGAGAACAAATGTTCGCGTCGGGACATATTTACGTACATTTTACATGACATATCGATGTCTCGTCACAGCGGTTTTGTCGAAACCCCGAGCACACTTACAGATTATAATATTATATACTACACAGTGTTACTGTGCTATGGTCTCAAATCGTATATTATTCGATTGATTTGTGGTTTAGCGAAACTAAACGGTGTGGGCAAAAGAGCTGGTCTCGCGAGACTCGTAAAGCGCTTGCGTATAAAGTTGTCATTTATCAATAAACTGCAACGTATTTCAATCGTCAGATTATTATTATCAATATCATTGCTTGACTATATGCTGACGTAACGGGATTTTTCTTTTGTACGCAGTATTGTCTAGCGGTGGCCACGGCGGCGGTCTAGGCGACAACAGCACGATGCTATCCGAAGAGGAATTGCGATTGTGCGGTTCAAATTTTTGCGTGATGGGAAACCACGCCATCGACAACCTGGAAAGGCCACCAGACTCGGAGATATTCGAGATCAGCACCATATACCTCACGTGCATCGTACTGGCCACCATCATAATAGCCCTGTTCCTGGACCCACTTTCCAGGTAAATCATTCGCTTACATTTTTTCAGAAACTTCAGGAATAGTACCTATTTCGGCGATTCGTCGTCAGCAGCTAGCAATGCGAGGTTTTTTAATTTTTGGAGAACTAATCCGTGTGTGTCTTCAAGAATGACACATTAATAATGTTATAATACCCGTATATAGGTACGTTGCACACTTGAACGAAAAAACCCTATAATTTTAACCATACCTACCAATGAAAATTATAATATAATATACATATTATACCTAGTAGGTAGGTATATTTTATCTACACGGCCACACGAGTTTAAACTTTACATAAGTAGCTACGGTGTGTGATATGAGAGCCTAGACATATATGAACACAAAACTATGGCTGAGGAGTTCAGATCCGACCAGAGATAGAGATCGATTTCGTCGATAAATGCACTTTAGATGCATCCTGACAGTCTCAGCAGACGACCATCGATCGTCGCGATAAGTAAAAGTAAATCAGAGGAGCAATCGTCACGTCTTTCTCATAATATATAGCCACATGTGTACCTATACAACAGCTAGGTAGATATTTCTACTCGAAACCTATAACAGTTGTTGTATTTGACTTGGACATTTGGGTACGATACATATAATAACATACACACACAGAACCGTAGCGACAGTGATAGTTCTTAATTTAATCTATGCAAAAACGAAGTGATCGAGAAACGTTTACGATAATAGTCAACCCGCATGTGGACAGGACAATCAGAAACTAAAAGTGTAAGACTATAACAGTGACATAGTGTTCCCGAAAAACGATGAGGATCTCCCCGTCACTTTCGTTATTCACATCAGCCCCAATTCAAATTTCCACCATAAATTGTTTTCCAACCCTCCTGGGTTGTGTATTGAGTCCACATATTATTATAGCAGACCTATGGACACACACACACCCAAAGACGCCAGAGCACAAACGTATAGGTACCTACCGATATACCCACTGCCCGGTCGAAGTGTGTACGTATTATAAGTATATTTCAATAAATATCTTCGGAACCGGATAGGATGTTATATAGTGATTTTACAAGGCAGATTTGACCTCAAGCACGAACAAGGCAAAACACGTACTTATCTTGCATTGTGCCCATACGTACTATAAGACTCGTTTGCATCGCGCGCGTTCTTATTATCGTAAAACAATACGTCTTTGTATTATGCACTCTCGTAACTTATTTTAAATACCTGATATACATACACACACACACACACATACACGTGTAGGTATATTATATAAACCTGAAAAGTTATTTGGCCTTGGCTGTGGTCTATACCTGATATTTCGAACCGCTCGTAAGGCGACTCGTGTTTATAGTAACGTGCCCGTCGCGTATTTATTCGCGAATTATATACCGTTATCGAACAGTCACCTTTAAATCCTCCAAAAGACGACCAATATGCGGCCAATATCCACAGAACGTTATTTTTTGTCGAAACGAGTTCAACACCACCGACATATTATAGTTTGACACGTCTTGTCGTAGATTGATTTTTGCACCACTGCTGCTCGACTTAAAGTCGCCTACCTATTATCCTATTATGCACAATGTATACAAATTATAATTTAAATATTTTCAAAATTAAATGAAAAAAATAACCAAGTGCATTTGTTTGCTTGTGTCATGTATACGTCGACCGATGAGCACAAACTAAATAAAACTGTTTAGGCACCAACATAATTAAAAATGCTCCAATGATAAATTTTAAAGACCGGGACAGTTTTTCGTTTATTTTTCGCATATACGATATACCTATACCGTCTCGAGTTCGGTACACGGTGTTCCTCATTTGGATTTTTGCAAAATTTTCCGGATATTATGTATAGTATTATACGTTGTGTATAATTATATGATCCGAAAATAATTATTTATAACAGAAGGTATATTTACGGATCGAATAATTATCCTATAATGATAATATTATGTACACATAAAATTACTGCGAATAATGTATCTACTTATCAAAAAAAAAAAAGACTAGGAGGAGATAATACTTGGGTTATATACGTGTTACTCAACTACCTGAATAATAATAATAATAATATTACGGATGAGAACTATTAAAATGCCGGTTTATAAATAATATAATATATGTAATTGCAATTTGCAAAATTAATAGTATTATTTGTAGGTAGGTACCTATGTGGAAAAAATTAGAATGTCTATTGCGAAAAAAATGCTAATATCACACTGAAATTATTCGGTCTCATAAATATTTATAAACTGAAGAATAACAAAAGAAGATTTTTTTTTTTATTTCGTCAGGTGGTTGAAATAGAAAAAATAATAATAACTCACTAGCTAAAATCCAATTGTGTTTGAAATACGTAGGATATATATGTATATGTACGAGTATGTATGTATGTGCATACAAGAACGCAGTTTACTTAAAATTTTAATTGCATTGAATTTTGCAAACACTCTGGACTGGCTATAATACCGAACTATAATATTATTAGGCACTGCATAAATGTATAATGTATACAGTGCAGTATCGATGCCGATATAGATCTATATTATAATAATATGCCCATTATAAACGCATATAGGTACACAATATTAGATGTATATAATATAGGTAGATACCTACAGATCCACGACATGCGTATTTTATGTTATGTTCAACATCCGTTGAGCAAATAATATTATTATATTCACTATATTAGTATAAATAGTATAATATAATATTATATATTATTATAATCAGTCGCCTTCGAGTTACGCGCGTTCTCTGGGGAATAGACGTCCTGCCTCGGGTATACCGCGGTTTACGAGGTTTTTTTTACTCTTACCACGTTTTTATTTTATTTTTTCTGTCTATTTATTTGATTTAATTTTTTTTTTTACTTTTTTTCGCTCCGAGGTGTGCGTGTGCACTAATTTAAAATATCCACTGTATATAAATATATATATATATACCTAATAAATACTACCTATATCTGTATAATATAATATATATATATTATTATCGAGCTTCTGATTGCGTCCGCGCGAATCCGGAGTCCCGAGGCGATCCGGGTATGGCGAAAAAAAAAACAAAGAACACATGACCGCGAAAACGGAATAACGGTCGACGGCAAACATATTTTTATTAATATAATAATAATAATAATAATAATAATAAAGACACCGCCGCGCTACATAATATATTATTATATTTCCGCACAAAGTGCTCGGTGGCTGCTGTATCGACGTGCCTATATGTAAGACGCTATTTACATCAGTGGCGTACGCAGGGGGGGCTAACGATCTGAAGCCCCCCCCCATTGGCCGTATTATTATTACTTTAAAAAAATATATTTATCAAGTTTCAACACCCATCAACTGTAGTAAGCAAGACGTAAATTTCATATATGTCTCACTAGAATGAATTCATTTTTGAAAAAACATTGTATTTGCATACCAATTTTCCTAAAATTGTCCGTAATTTTTCGATAAAAGTATGAACTACTTGTACGAAAGCCCTTGTTTTAAATTGTCTAACCTTATCTATACACATATAATATTTTATAAGTTTTAAACTACAAATTAACTGTGGTTTTGACGAAATTTGAACTTTAAATGCTTATAAAAAATAACCATGATGCCTATATGTTAATATTTTAGCTACAATAAAAACGTACGCATTACATTGTTAAGCTTTTTGACAGGATAAATTATTTTTTATTGAAATTTGTAGAAAAAAATATTTTTAATTAATCAAATGCAATCCAAGTGAGGACGTTATAACAAATCTGGTTACCAAACAATTTTAACAAATTTTCATTTTTTTTCTCCAATTATTTTAAAAAGCACTTAGCATTTTCAATGTCGACCTCCTAGAAGTACCGACTAGATCCAATTTGCTTCTAAAAACATACATCGGGCATCGAAGTTTATGGCATTTTTTCTACCAGAAAAGTTGAGAAGTTACAAACATTTTAAAATACCTCAAATAAACGTCAGAAATTATTAGACTGCAGGACAAAATAAAAATAAAATTGTAACTAATTTTCAAGCCCCCCCCCCCCCCAATTGAAAAATCCTGCGTACGCCACTGGTTTACATATAATATTGGCAGCCTTTATAGTACATAATATATGTATAGTAAAGTTTTTTAAATTCCCTAAAGTATAATTATGAAAATAGATAAATCATCGAGTGAACACTTTTACATGACATCAGCGATCAAATCACGATCGGTCATCCACTCGCATATTAGTTTTGTTTTAATAATTATATCGGTGATATTATTTCGCCTAACGAGAGCAGTTTTACAAATCGTTCATGTTAATTTCACACACACATATTGATAAATTATTATTTTATAACCTTTCGTGCAATTATTTTCACCAAAAGATCTTGAAAATGTATTAAATATGATCATCATTATAGTCACTTAAAATTACATAATTCATTTTTTCAAAATTAAGCCCATGTTTTTTAATAACGTATAATTAATATTGTGTACCTAAAATTGTGCTTTTATCGGATTTCGTAGAATTTACATGGTTATTAAAGTACCTAGTAATTATTAAGCTCCGTAGTTAAAATTTAAAATTAAAAAAAATATATATTATAATGTTTATTAACTTAGTATTACACCATTTTAACAAATACTTCAGTACTATATTCACGTAGGTATATATTATTGTTGGATCGTATTAAACTGAGTAGATGGCCCATTAGTGAAAACAAATTACACGATGTAAGATTTTGGAGCAAATTTAATGAAAAGGTGATCCACTTATTTATTTGCTTATAATTTATATATTGGTTTATTTTCATATTTCACGGAAGGCAGAAAATTGGTTACATTAGCCGTTAAAGGGGACTTGGACAAAAACCGGTTTTTTGCTGTCTTACATATTATATGAACTAAAAAAATGATTAAAAATGATGAGATTATATAGATATATTATAATATTTAAACCTAGGCTATAATGTGCAAAACGATGACATTTTTGCAGGTTGACAATAATTGTTGAGATTGATGAAATATGTTA